TTGGTTTAATTTGGATAAAACCATATTCAGCAAATTTTATTTGAGTCCATTATCAGCACGTTTATTAATCAGCTTTATTTGAATAATCAAAATGCTAGTGCCAAATTCACTGATTCATTAACAAAACATTAACAAATATAATGGTTATGATTTTTTACTTTTTATTTTGATTTATATAAATTTTACAACTCTAAATAAAAATTAAACCTATAATTACTTTCATGTATTTTTATAACATATTATCAAAATTATTTAAAGTAAGAACAAAACTAGTTTAATACTATTGTATAAGTTTATGGTTTTTTGTAGTCAGTATTAAAATTCATCTTAAATAAATTGTTAGTTTTTTATTTTTAGTTTAGATTTTTCAATAGTTGCAAAATTTGCCTACTCAAGTGCTAATTTGACCTACATTTTTGGTTATTTGAGTTAATTTAGTTAAACCAAAAACTACAACCATACTATGGTTTTGGTTTTGAGTTTTTAATTTTGGTTTCTAAAAATTTTGCAACTATTGAAAATAAAAAATTTAGAAACCCTAAAATCAAATTAAGAATTTCTATGAATTGAAGAGGTTTAGAGTTTTGGATATTCATTTTTAAATTTGTTATCCACTAAGTTGTTTAATTTTAATTTTAATTTTGGTTTTTAATTTTTAATTTTAATTGTTTGAATTTTGAAAATCAAAACCAAAAACTACCACAACTATACCTAACATACCTAAATAACCTAATCTTTTTTTTTTTTTTTTATGAAACCTAATTTTTTTATTTTATTTATGATAAAAATGATGATGAATTTGTGAACTATCTATAATACCACCTTTCCTTTGTTCCTTTTTGGTTTACCTAATTTTTTATGGTTGCTAATTCAACTAATTGATATGATTTGTTTGGTACCATTCTAAAAAGGGTAGTGATATAGGGATAATGTTTTTATATCACATTTTTATACAATTTTCATGTGTCATTAAATGACTAAATATATTTAATATCACGAATTCCAAATGAATAAAAAGACTTAATCATTTAAATGACATGTCAAATTGTATCAAAAGGTGGTACAAAAAGGGTTGTTTCAAAATCATTTTCCTTTTAAAAACCAATAATGCAACTTTTTTATAATAAGCCACATAAATATTGCGTAATTAAAATAAAAAAATTAATTTTTAGTTATAGGTCTTACAAAATTGCCACATCTTCAAAACAAATAAGTTCAAGAAGCATTTTGAGGTAATTGAAACCTTTAAGGTTATTATAAGATAAAATAGAAAGGATAGGGATCATGCAATTCAGATATTTAACCAATTAAAATAGTTAACGACATTAATGACCAATTTAACAAATAATAATTTTCGTCCAATTTGGACCTCATTTCATAAACTTATTTAAGCGAAATGAATTTTGGGATCTCAATTGTGAATTTAGTGAAAGTATGAGACCTTATTCAATGTTTAGCCAAATTTTAAAATATGCAGTTTTGGCTAATTCTGAATACCAACCCAACTTAAAACGAAAATTTTCAATGAATTAGCAATAGTTCTGAATAATAAAAGTGATGACATGTTCCCAAAAAAGATGTGTTTGATGACACAACAAATATAATCACTGAACTTTTGAATTATTAACAACTCTAAATAGATATTTAGTTAATAGCCACTTAAAGTTAATAATGTTACCCCTAAAAATTTCTGTCTAATTATGATTTTATTTGAGAATTTCAATTACTTTGGTACTTTATTTGAGCAAAATAGAACTTTGAGACAATTATGAATTCAGTGAAAGTTTGCAACCTTGTTCATTACTTAAGCAATTAGCATATTTATTTAATTGGATGAATGTATCTGCCGCCAAACAAGGAGTAGAAATGAATAAAATTATTATTTCAAATAGCTTATTCATTTATATAATATATATAGTTGTTTGTTTCTCATTTCCTTTGGTACGTAATGGATGGTTTTATACCTCCTATATATGGTTGGAATTGACAATTTAGTTTAACTTTTTTTTTTTATTGTTTGTTTATGCTTTCGAATTTTCTGTTGACGAACACTAGAAGAAGTATTTTTTATTCACATTATTTATTATGTTTCAGGACCTTAAATTACCAATTAATGGCGGACATAGCTGGGGCAATCTTCAGTGCATTGAGTTGCATTTGTGGTACTCCAACCGGCAACTGTATAGATCAACATAGAAATTTTAATGATGATGTGGGTGAGCTGAGAAGAAAATTGAACACTCTAACCAACCGAAAGCAAGATATAGAATCAAGAATACAAGTAGCAGAGGCACGCGGGGGACAAACGGTTAGACGAGAAGTGCAAGACTGGCTTAAGCAAGTACAGGACATTAATGTTGATGTGCAAGCCTTTTTAGAAAAGGTGCAGGGAGTCAAGTGGTGCAAGCGTGCCTGTCGTGACAAACGTGTTTGCAGAAAAATTGATGTGGTGAACGACATGCTTGAAAAAGGTAGTTTTCCCGAAGGCCTTTTTATTGACAGAGCTCCAGCTCGTGGAAACAGAATTCCAACAGAGAATTTAGTGGGGGAAATTTCTACTAAAGAAGAAATTTGGGGGTACTTGATGGGTGATGAGGTTGGAATGATCGGAGTTTGTGGGATTGGTGGAGTTGGAAAGACTACGATCATGAAGAATCTCCACAATGATTTACAGAGGGAGACTAGATTTCAGAAAGTCATTTGGGTTACTGTATCACATCCTCTCAATGTTTTTGAATTACAAAAGAAGATTGCTCGTGCTATGGACGAAAGACTTCTAAATGATGATAAAGATGATGATGGAGTGATGATGAGAGCGGGGGAACTAATGGATATAATGGGAAGAGTGAAATTTGTGCTAATATTAGATGATGTATGGGAAAGGTTCTCTCTTAAGAAAGTTGGAATTCCGGATCCGAAGGCGCAGAATGGGTGCAAAGTAGTTGTCACTAGTAGATCAATTGAAGTATGCAGTTATTTGAGTTGTAAGATTGTTAGAGTGCAACCTCTTTCACAAGAGGAGTCTCTAAATTTATTCCTCAATAAAGTTGAGGATGTTGATTTAGAAGTTCCAGGGTTGGAAGATATCTTGAAGCTTATTGTGGAAGAGTGTGCTGGCTTACCATTGGCCATTGTTGTCATAGCTGGGAGCATGAGGGGAGTTGATGATGTTAAGGTGTGGGAAAATGCATTGACTGAGTTACGATATCGTGTAAGGAGTGTGAGAGATTCAAATGATGAGATATTTAACCGGTTAAGATTTAGTTTTGATCGGTTGGATGGTTTGGAAGTCAGGAATTGCTTTCTTTATTGCTCATTCTTTCCAGAAGATTATTTGTTTTCTAGAAGGGAGTTGATAGAATGTTGGATTGATGAAGGACTAATTGATGGGTCGCCAAGTAGAGAAGCAGCTTATAACAGGGGCCATGCTATTATAGATAGGCTTGAAAAAAATTTCTTATTAGAGAAAGATTCTAGGTTAGTTGAAATTGGTAGCCATATAACTTCTATATCTGGGGTTAAGATGCATGATGTAGTGAGAGATATGGCTATCATAAGCATTGGTCCTAAATTTGGATATATGATAAAAGCTGGTATGAATTTGGTAGAGCTACCAGATGAGCATGGTTGGGTAAAAGATCCTAAGAAGTTGTCTCTAATGGCAAATGACATTTTAAAAGTTCCTCTTAGTTTATCCCCAGAATGTTCGACTCTTTCGACTTTGATATTATCAAGTAATCCTAATTTGTCAGAGATTCCAGAATCTTTTTTTGGAGAGATGCTTACTTTGAAGGTTCTTGATCTCTCTAGCACTGCTATTGAGACACTACCTAATTCCATCTCTGAATTGAAGAATCTATCTACCCTCCGGTTACAGCTTTGCAAGAAGTTAAAGTACTTGCCTTCCTTGGCAAACCTCAGGGGATTGAAGAAGTTGGACCTGCACAAGGCAGGGATTGAGGTGGTCCCACAAGGCATGGGGATGTTGATAAGTCTTGAATATCTTGATTTGTTATTTTGTCCAAATCTGAAAGAGATTCCAACAGGAATATTACTTAACCTTTCCAGTCTCCAGTATTTGGCAGTTCGTTGTTGGCGAGAAACTACAATAGTGAGAAATTTTGAAGAGGTTGCTAGACTGAAGAAGTTGGAGACTTTAGAATGTAACTTTGATGACATACAAGACTTCAATTATTTTGTCAACAAGTTCAAAGATTTCCAAAGGGCTATTACTTACAATCTTCTAGTTGGGAGTGCAAAAGACATGCTTAGAAGGAGCAAACATGAGCTTGTAATTACTGATTGCGAGATCGGGGAAGAAGGTATAGTGCTTCCAAATAAGCTTGAAGATTTGTTAATAACTGGGCTTAAAAACATGGGAAGCAGCTTAAGCAAAATAGCTCTGTTAGAAAAAGCAAATGAGTTGAGGACATGCCATATTCACCGTTGTGAAGAGATACAGTGCGTGCTTGTGTTGGACTCATCCTCCTCCTCCTCCTTATTGCGTTGTTCTGTATTTGATAAGCTTGAAGAGTTGCGGCTTCGTGGATTGCCTAGTTTGTGTGAACTTGTGAGGGTGGAAGGAGAAGCAACACCACCGCACGTCTTTTCCAATCTTAAAAAGCTTTTTGTAGCAGAATGTTCGGGAATAAGGAAGTTGCTTCCATTTGAGCTACTGCAGGCCCTCCAAAACTTAGAGTCGATTGTAGTTTATAGTTGCAATCAAATAGAGGAGATAATAGCATCATTAGGTTTGGATGCATCATCATCGAATAAATTCACTTTCACTTTTCCTAAGTTAAGGGAATTGCGCTTGTTGTTCTTACCCCAATTGAAGAGCATCTGCAGTGCCAAAGGAGTTATGGTTTGTAATTCTATTGAAACAATTCAAATAGGTTTTTGTCCGAAGTTAAAGAGGATCCCTGTGCAACTTCCCCAACTTGATAACGGCCAACCATCTCCTCCTCCTCATCTCAGAGAAATCAAGATATTTGAAAGTTCAAAAGAATGGTGGGAATCAGTGGAGTGGGATCATCCTAACGCTAAAAACCTCCTTCAACCCTTCTTGAAATATTTTTAGATAACCGTGGGATTGAGGGTAAGGTGTTGATCGATTTACTACTACTTAATTCTAATTTGAATTTGCTTTGGTAGTATATTACAGTATGTTGTTGAAAATTTGGGAAATAATTTGTGTAGATTGAAGTGAAGAGCTGCAAACTGCAAATGTAAAGCCACGTGCCACCTCAATAACACGTGCCAATAAAAGCATTTCCACAGTTTCTTCATTCCTCCCCCAACGAAAACAATTGGGTATTCTAAAAGAGAAAGAGATGGATGTGTTTGAGATGGAAACCCTAAGTGGGTATATTCTAGAAGACAAAGATATCCCCTATTTTAACTTATTGTAAGTGTTTAGATTTCACTATCTCTATTTTAACTTATTGTAACTCTATTTAGTTTTTGTGTTTGGATTCATATTCCACTTTTTTCATTTAACAAGATAAAATTGTGAGTGATAAAATTGTTTAATATCTGTGGTTGGAAGAACATTAATAGTATTTCTTTTTTTATTTGATTTTTTTGATATATTTTTTATTTAACTTTATCTGGACAGTCTTTTTTATTTATAATTTTCTATCATTTGCAATCCTGTGTTATTTTAGTTGCTGAAAGAAGCGATTTCTGTAGTTCCAGAGAAATCATCAACTTTCCCAATAAATCACAAGCCACCGACAACATGTTCCGGTAAAAGCCCTTACTCAATAACGAAAAGATTGGCTGGAAAATTACGTGCTAAACTGAAGAATCAGACCTCAAAGAAAGTGTCAAACATCCAAACACTAGGTATTTTGACTTGATTATTCCATTCCACTCTCTTCATTTTCTTATGCTTCTTAATTTCTTTGTATTCATAAGGGTTTTATTGAATTTTTTTTTGTTCTATATTTTGTTCTTTTTATAATTTGGTTTTGGGGTAAGCCTGGCTGAAAATGAGCCCCCTTTAATTGCCAGGTATGCTAGCTCCGGTAAGGCCTCAAGGAGAGGAAGTTTTTAGGTTTCTGGGTATGCCTTTTTTTGTTTGTAACCTAAAATTTTTGTACAAGAGTTTCTGATAAAAATTGGTATCATTTTCAGGCTTCCTACAAAAATTTTTGGTGTCATGATCATGAATTGTGCAAAGAGGTGAATTTTTCCTTTCCAAGAATGCAGTTAAAGTTCACATTCACAAGTCACAAGCATGGAGAAACATACTCATGATTGCAATCTGTTTAGGTTACATGAAGAGTTTGTTTGAAAAACATGGCAGTGGGTTGGGAAAATTATATGCTGTTGTCAGATATTTTGATTTTATTTTTTTGGTAACAGTGCATATCTTGGTTAATGATGGTTCTTGTTTACTTCAGGTTATTAAGCTTAAAGTTTTGTACCAGGGGACGTTTCTGATAAAAATTAGCATAATTATCTGGCTTCCTACAGGTGGCTGAGTTGCTTCTTTTTGGTGTCATGAAATGTTGCAAAAAGGTGAATACCTTTCCTCTCTAAGAATGTAGTGAAAGTTCACATTCACAAGTCACATGCGTGGAGACACATATTAATGATTTATTATTTGTTTAGGTCACTCATGGAGCTTGTTTGGAAAACATGGCAGTGGGTTGGAAATAGTCTATACCTTGTCTTCCTGGCTGATGAGCAGTCTTCCAAGTTACCATATAAGGCTTCTTAGAGGACTTAAACTCAGGTTAGATTTTCCTTAAAAATGGAATATGGTCTCAATCTCATCATTAACAATTTTCATCTGTTCAGTTAGTAGTTATTTCTTTTAATTCATATGGTGGATTAGCCCCAATCTAAACTTCTAAACCCCATCCCCAAATCCAAATCCAAATGTGTTTCAGGAGAACAATGCATCAATTGAGTCCTACTAGGCTCCCTTCATGGTGGAGTCTGATTCATACCTTGAAACATATCATACCGTCCTGAGATGGCTAGTGAACCTTGCTGCTATAACCGAACATGGCAGGAGCTAGGAAGGAGTTGATGTGTTGGTGTTTGAGAGCTATATCTAATGGATGCACAAGTGTAACAAGCCTCAGATCAGTGCTATGTAAGTTTCCAGTTTTCAATCTAATGCTTTCTATTCCATCCAATTTCTTCTACTTTTTGTGAACCTTGCTGCCATAGCCAAACACAGCGGGATCTAGGAAGGAGTTGATGTGTTGGTGCTTGGAGCTATGTGTGGTGGATGTACAAGCATATAGAACAAGCTTCATATCAATGTTATGTAAGTTTCTGGTTTTTTTATCTAAGTCCTATTCCATCCAAATTCTTTGGTTTTTGTGCTCCTAGAGCAAGTTTTTTATTTTGAAATCCAACAGGTTAATTTAAGTTCTAACTTTCTTCCTGGGTTTTAGGTTTTTTTT